ATGTAAATCCAGTTTGCATTATTGCGTGTTATCTAATTACAGGCCATTCACTGTTGACATTTCATACCTTACTCCTTATTTATCAATGATGCTGCTCTTCATGCATTTATCATGTACATTTGTTTGCCTTTCCCTTGTGCTTGACATTTCTTCTCTTTTGTTTCATCCCTGATCATTGACTACTTCATTGCCCCATTGATCATTTACTGCTTTCTTTGTATATCCCTATGTCTTTGACTAGCTGTGTTGAGCTTAGCTTCATCTGTGATCATTAACGCATTTATTCTGTTCCCCATCATTTAGTGCTCTGTTTTTTTATCTCTTTTTCTTTGACCACTTCTCTTCTGCTTTGGCTGGTTGATATCTCAGAATGAAGGCAGTGTTTAAGGCGCTCCAAGTACTATTAACAATTTATAATTCTGTTATTTAATGAATATCTACTGTTGATTTGTTAATAAATGCTTTTTTCCTCTTCTATCTTTCATTGCCTACCAGCCATATATGCATCTTTATTTCATATCTTTTGTGTCTAGCTGTTATTCTGTTTAAATTCTTTTTGTTCCTTTTTCCCTCTTTTGTTTTTTCCCTGTTTCTTTTTTCTTTCTTTTCCCACTTCCTCTATTTTATTTACTCCTTTTATATGGCAATGATGGGTATAATTGATCTTTACACATTGAGTTTAGTGTGATTTGTCCAGGGATTGCTATGAACTAATTTTATTTTCTTGGATTTGTTTTAATGTTCATTTTTTGATTCATAGTTGTCAATTCTCTTTTTCTGTCCCTTTTGCTTCTTCTTATGTTTTTATCTTATTTCCATTACTGTTTAAGTTCAAAAATTATTTACATCTATATTCCCTTTCTTCCTTCAATATTCAGTTTTCGTTCTTTTATTTCCTCTCCTTCTTTTTCTTTACTTACTATATTTTTCCATGATTTTAAATTTTTTTTGAAACCCTTATATTTTCTCTCATTTTTATCAGATTTGGTGCTTTTCTGAAGACTTTTATCGTTTTTTGTTTTATTTTTTCTTTCCTTTCCCTCTACTTCCTCCTTTTTCTTTTTTTTATTTTCTTCCCCTTTCTTTCACTCTTTTTTATTTTTCCCCCTTTCTTTTTTTCTGGTTCTGCTTAAATACATTTAGATTTCCTCATGCTTTCAAGTTTTCTGGATTCATTTTTGTCCTCTGCCCGTTTTATACATATAATGAATCTATGTTTTTTTCCTTTCCTTTTGATTCACCTGGTAGTCTATAGACAATTTAATTTTATGCTTTACTCCGGTTGGTCACTTTTCCTGGCACATGAATTATAATCTGTGTGATGAATATAAAACTTTCTTAATGTTCACCCTTTTATGCAGTTACCCGTAGTAGCCAGTCATAAAAAGACAATAAATATATAAGTTTCAATATTCATCATACTTTGTCGAAAATAAAAAAAACCTAAGCCATGATTTTGAAATAAAAATATTGTTACATATATTAATCTTCTCTCTTTTTTTTTTTTCCCCTTACTGGATTCTGGAAATATACATATGAACATATATATACAATTGTTTGCATCACTATTTTTTCCTTCCTGCCGTCTCTCTTCCTGTTGAATGACTTTCCAGTTTTTTCTGCTCCATGTTTTCTGCAGTTACCATAATGCTTTATTCAATTTGCCCTTTTCCATTTATTTTTATGTTCAGTTTTATATACTGCTTTCACAATTTTATCAGTCCTGATCCTTATTGTTTCTCCAATTACTTTATTCTTCACTTTTTTTTGTCGAGTCCTTTTCCCCATGTGCTTTCCCCTTTGCTTTCACTGTTTCGTAGACTCGGTCTAAATTACCTGGTAGTTTCGGAACACTATTGCATTTTAGTATTTTACCACTACTACTTATCCTGCATTATACATGTTTTACAATTTATATAACAGACATAACGACTTATTAACAGTTATATCACCAGATTTATATGCCATATTCTTGATATAATAATTATATCATCATATTTTAGTATACAGAATCTCAAACTTCCTTACTTCATTTATTTGCTAATTTGATCTATCCATTATCTTAATTTTGTGGACTTTTCTCTTTTTAAGATAATTGTCTTTAATGTGCATAATATTTCATTGTTATGATTGTAAATATCTAATCATTGTACTCATTTGCATATTACTTTAGTTCAGATATATATTGTGCTGACAAATATGACATCCAATAAGTTTATGAATTATACTAATTATTAAGAGACTGCCGTGGATTTTAACATTCTTCATATATAAAAAAAAAAAAAAAAAAAACGAATCGAGTATTATTACATCATTATTGATTTTATTAATTGCTACTAATTTTGATATACTGTTGTTTGTTGTTCGCTGCGTACAGATTACTTGGATATGCATATTTGGTCCCTCGTGATGTTTGAGTAGTTGTTGTTTCATTTTTAAAACAGGGTTTATAGCGTAGCAAGTATTAAAGATAGTCTTTACGTATAGCAATTTAATATCTACTCCTGATTCTTAATGTATTGATTTTCTCTTATCATATTAATGTGCATATTTTATACTTTTCTATTCTCCTAGATAAAAATAACAAATTTGTAACCCTTTCTTTTTTCTCTATTCTCTTTTTAAGTCCTATTATTCTTTAAGCATATATCTAGCTAAAGCATTTAACTTTTGATTCAATCACTTATTTGCCATACACACATTTTTTGTGGCGATGATGATTAACAAGAAACTTATACTCAGTTTTGTATAAATTGTACATGTCTTTTTACTGGACCTTTAAACAAATATATATATATATATGAGGCTATTTATATGAACATTTTTAATAGATCTAATATATATCTGTACTTATATTTATATATATATAAAATAATACTGTAATGTAAAAACTCCTAACTTAACTCTTTATTTTTCCCATAATATAACAGTCTTCCCTGAAGTAACGCGCGGATAAAAATACTAATTAAAACTATATAAAATTAATAAAATAAGATGTAACGATTCAAATAACATCTCTGTTGATAAGATATTTTTTTATACTTTATCGGTAGTATGTTTATTATTTCGTACTGTAAAAATCTCATTTTTTTTTGGGAAGTTTCGTACTGCGGGAGATACCTTATTGCAGTGTGAGTATTTTTTCAAATATATAATATTATATATCATTTACGACATGCCGTTTAGGAGATTTGGGTAACATGACTTTTTTTAGTAAACGTCATGTCTTTACCGTAAGCGACAAAGTTCTACACGGATTTACTTTTTTTTTTTTCTCAAGTAAATAACATTTAGGCTCAGTTCATTTAAATTTAGAATTTAAGTTTTGTTACAGTAAAAAAAATTTAAAATAGTTATATTTAATTTTTTTATTATAATAAAAAATTCTCATATAAAATTACATCTCAATTCGAATTAAAAATTGAAATTAGTCAATTAAAGGGACTCTTAAACTCTGATATTTAAAAGTGGAAAAAACCCACATTTTATTTCCAGGTAGAAAGATACCAGTGGAAAAAAAAAAAAAAAAAAAAAAAAAAAACATGAATTACTTTTATCCATCCAAAAAATGACTGGCTTTAAATTGTCAAATTATTAAAAAAAAATGTTTTTAGCACTATTGCTTTCCAAACGTGTCATTGTCTAGTAAATTACTTCCTAAATTATTAATTTTGACAATCAACCCGTAATTGTAAAAGTATTATAATGTGCCATATTTTACTAAATATGTTCAAATTTTTTATTAAATTTAAGGAATTAAAAGATGAGAATTTAAAAGATTTGTGTTACATTTAAATTGTAATATTAAAAATTTTCGTCAAATGTATTTTTTTTATAATAATTTAACACAATTATTGTTAAAATTGAGCATATTACAACAATTTTACAAGTTAAGAGGACAACTTATTAAAATTAAAAATTTGGTGAGTAAGTTACTAAAACTATACAAGTTAAGGAGGCAAATGTGTAAAATATTAAAAAAAATAAAAATAAAAAGGTGTGTGTATGGACACCCACCATTCTATTTTTCACACATTCTTTTTTTAATAAAATTTCGTATTAATAAATTACCCATCTATAAAATTACTTTTAAAACAAAAATATTTTAAAAAACTACTTATTACACACTCTACTTAAAAAAGATTATTTTCTTTTAAAAATTATTATGCCTTACTTTTCAAAACAATAGGGATAGGTTCCATCATAACAGAAGCCTCCCACAAAAAACAACGTTGTTTATTTATTTTTTCAATTCCTTTTTTATTCAATTTTTGTTGTTTTACATATTCAATTAATTAAATATGACTTGAATTATATGAGCATGCAAAAGTAGTCGTACAAACTATACATTGACCATATAGAAAATTTCTACGAATTCATTTTGTAGAAACAGAAAAATCTCTTCATTTAAGAATAGATGACTTTCTACAAATTCGTGTATAAGGTTTAAATTAAATACGATTTATATATTCATATATAGGTTTCTTTATCTTCCTTTGGCTATACATTGATCATATATAAAATTTCTACGAATTCATTTTTTTTTTTAAATCTATTCGATTAAGAATATACGAATCGACGAGGGAAAATATATGGTTGAAAAAGGAAAATTCTTGTGAGAAAAAAAAAGAATAGTTTGATTGGTGTGTGGGTAAAAAAGAGAAAAAAAATATAATTTAATTGTAAGGGTTTTTTTTTTTTTTAATTTTTAGAGGAGGGGTAGTTTAAAAGCGGACTGCGGACGTGTGAAAAGTAGAATGGAATGAAATCTAGCTGTACGGTTCCTGTAACAAACGATATGTCGTTCTCTCTGATGGTAAAACGACACCATCTTTTGGGTAAACAAGACGTCGTTCATTTACATAATTACAGGTAAAAAAACAAACGTCGTTTCGTAACCGATATATATATATATATATATTTTTTTTTTTTTTTGAAAATAAACCTATATCAATTCAGACGACGCGCCGTTTTAATTTTTTTTCATCGTCATTGTTGAAAAAGACAGCACAAAATCCCCTTTTCTGCAGAACCCAAAAAAAAAAAAGAACAACCGTTCCGGTGCGAGCCCAGACAAGTGACGACCTTCCTCTCCTTGTGGAGCGCCCTTTGAACGACGTCGGTGGCCATGCCTTGATTCTTCCTTCTCCGGCGATGCTACTATAACCCGCTTTTGCAGCAGCAAATCTTCTTCTTCGATTTCGATGCGCTCGTCTAAGAATCTGGTAAAGTTCTCGTCTTTGATCTCCGAATAATACTTTCCGTTCACGCCCTAATTCGCACAAATGAAATCGGAGGAATTGAGAGTAGAGTTCTGCTGAGTTTCAAAGAAACCCCCGAGGAAGTAACATCACCTTCGATTGCTCTCCTTCTGGTCCCCGCGTTCCTGAGTTTTAAAAGGTCTCTCTCTCTCTCTCTCTCTCTCTCTCTCTCTCTCTCTGATTTTATTGAAACTTTCGATATGTTTGTTTGGAAAATCTAACAAATTCTCTCTTTTTAGGTGTATTATGTAACCTTAATTCTTCCATATATGAATCCTTTGTGACCGTTTTCTTGTAACCTTTGTGGTGGTTTTTCTGTCTGTCTAATTGATTTTGTTTCTCTTCTGCCTGCCTATGGAAAATATATATGCTACTTTTCCTTTCAATCTTTTAGTTTATCTTGAAAGTTGTGTTCAACTCTTGTTTTCAGCTGAGTGATATCTCCAATCTCCCTTGATTGGAAGTGATTATGTACGGTTTTAACTCAGCATTGCCTTTAATCACTAATTGGATCCTCTCGGTTTGAGTCTCATCTCATGTATTTACAAGTTTTTTTTTTTTTTTTTTATCATCGCTTGTTCATATTTTGCTTTATTTTAAGAATTTGTTTTTCTACATTCAGAAGTTTGTTTATGTAAATTTGGTTTCTCTTTGGGTAATACAGGTAGAGTATGGTATTACTTTGCATAATTTAATTGTTTTAGTATGATGTATTGATTATCTTCCCGTTACTTTAGAAAATAGTGAAGTTCTACAATTTCTTTTATGTTTTCCTGACTAATTTATGTCTATACTATAATAGTATTGTAATATTGATACTGACCTGAATATGTTACTGATCAAGTATTTGTATTGAGCACTGTGTGAATGGTTTTTGATGATTTGTATAGATTAGGATTTTTTTTCCTCTTTCTTTGTTTGGTAACTAGATTTGGTTAGAGTTTCTTCTGTAATCCATATGTATTCCCACTATATGGCATTTTTTTCTTGAAATATCTTTGAGTTTATCCATGTTTATCTGGGTTTTTCTTCAGTTAGTTTCTGCACTTGTTGCATTATGCCAAGATTTTATTCTTGTTCCTTTACCTAATTGATTTTTCTAATTGACTCACATTCTGCCACACTTGTTGTTGTCTATCTGTATGTAATAACCTATGCCATTGTCTTGTATTATAGTTATACTTTACTCTTAGATTTTCTCTCTCTGTTTTGTTACAACTGATATTATTTTCGTACATTACAATTTTCTTTCGTCAGTGTAATATTCTTTTCTCTTGAGTTTCACTAGTCTCTTCATGTAAGAGTTTAAATAGTTTCCCCATAAGGGTGTTTCAATAGTTCTTTTCTTAAAGTTTTACTCATATTATCTAGTTTTTATGATGACAACTTCTTATCATTAAATAACAGAAATGTCAATGATTTTCTAAATGCTACATTACTTAACTTTCCACATAAGTCAAAAAAAAAAAAAAGCTTTCCTCATAATTTACTCTTTCTCATATTCATTATTCTTTAAAAGATATATTTTAATATCATTTTAATGTTAAATCTTATGACTATTATCCTGATTGCAGTTGTCTGCTAATATAGACAGTTACTTTTGAATAGTTATTAAAAAATTTTCCTTCCGTTTCATTCTCAAACATTTTCAATAATTTCTCCCTTATTACGATAACTGCATTTCATCAGTTACTTTTATATTTCAAAAGTTAACAACTGCTCTTATATCTTATCACAACTAGTCTTATTTTTATTACCGGTTTTTAGTGGTTTTGATTCCTAAAAGTGTTTTACTTTGCTATGTATTAAAAATAGGCTGGTAAGGAAGGCCTTCCTTCCTTTCTCCCTCTCACATAAATAAAAAAAAATATATAAAATAAAATATAAATAGAAAGTAAATAAAAAAAATCAACCTTGGTTGAATACTGCAATCCTCTACATATGCTGGTTATTTAACTGCGGTTTAGCATTCAACTTTGGTTGGACTGGTCAATTAGTCTGCCAAACACAATCCGAAACTCAGAGGGAGAAAGGATTACCTGTATTTTGTCTTCTTAATGATAGGATCTATGAGAGCACCTTTATGTCATATGTTGCATTATTTTAATGGGGACACCCATAGATCCGACCTTTAAAAATTTAATTTAACGGTTAAAAACACTTGCTCTACCAGTAAAGTAAAAGTATGATTCCTTGCATAAAGTTTTCCTCATTTTCATCCTTTCTCTATTGGCTAAGTCAGCGAATTAGTTTCTAGGAACTAAATTGTTGATCTCAGTTAGATTGTGTGTGTGTGTTGTTCTTTTTTTTTCTCAATTGAGTGTCAGTAGATAAGTTCTCACGCGGAGGAGAAGTTATGTACAATACAATAGTTGTTAACATCTTTTGCATAATGCGTACATAAATTCTGCAGAATTTCTTAACATTGGATCAGTCTTGATGTCATTTTCATGGTTTAATGAATGGTCTTGTGACAACTATTAGATATTCAACTTCCATGGAGGAATCGGAGAAAAGAAGAGAAAGATTGAGAGCAATGCGTCATGAAGCCGCTGCTCAGTCTGTGAATTCTGACAACAATGAAGCTCCTGCAATGCCTTGTTACCTCTCCAATCCATTGGTCGAGACCTCCGCAGCAGCTCCGCCTCCCGAGCAATCACACGGAACGTCTAGGTTTGATTTCTACACAGATCCTATGGCAGCATTCTCTGCCAACAAGAGGAGGAATAATACTAGTGACCCGATTTCCTCTCATCATGTAACCCCCCCAGCTAACAGTGGTTCACCCATGTTGAGATCCCCATCTCCTTTTTCAGGTAATGTGTTTTGTTTGGCTTTATATATATATGTGTGTGTGTGTGTGTGTGTGTGTATGTATTAAACATGCACACACACACAAAAGAACCTGTAGCTTTTTGATGAAGCAATTGTACAGTGTTTTTCATATCTTTGTTCAGTCTCTATGAATTGGTTTTGCTGGTGAACATTAAACAGTTTTCTGATCTATTAGAGAGAAATGTGTGTGTTTTTGGTTGGTTGGCTCCAACTGTTAATTGGCGAGTTATAGAAAGTACTTGTCAAGCCTTAGGGGACATCTAATCGCCTGCTTTTCACCGAGGCATGAACCAATAGATTTCCCCAAACTACTGAGGACCTGAAACTCTTAAGGAAACCACGAGTGACTTATTAGTTCCTTTGGTTGCTATGCAAATATTTAAGGCAGAGGGAAAATTATGTTTGGCCTTCTTTTGTATTGTTTCATCTCAAACAGTTCTCCTTTTATTTTTCTTTTAGCTATGATTATTTGTTTAACAACAATAACATTTTGGATGTTTGATGCCAAGTATTTGGCACCAAGAGCCTCAATTTTGTCTGCATTTCTTCTTTACATTTCATCCTTAATTTCCCCTCTCACTAAGTGTAAATTTAGCAGGACCCAGGTACGCCGGAATGAGTCCTGCTCATCAGTTTCAGAGCAATTACTCACCCAATCCAAGAATGTACCAGCCACAAGGTTTTGGTCACGACCCCATTTCCCAGAGCGGCGAATTGGGAATGTCTAGGCCGTTTAACATGCATCAAGGCAATATGGATCCCTCGATTGGACCCGGCAGTGCGGCAGGTTATTATAACTTTCCTTCCAATCAACCAAGAGGGAGTAGGTTTCCGAGTCCTCGAATTGGTCCAACGGGTAGTTTTTTCAATGCTGGTCAAGGTAGGGCTCACTGGCACAACCACAGTCCAAACCCTGGTTTGGGACGTGGAGGCAGTCCTAGTCCTAGTTTGGGAAGAGGTGGGGGTCGCTGGCATGGTGGTAGCACGAGTCCGGGTTCAGGTCGGAGAGGAGGGCGAGGTCCAGGTTCTGCTGGTCGCCACTTTACAATGGACAGACAGCTGGGGCCAGAGAGGTTTTATGACGAGTCAATGATCGAAGATGCTTGGAAGTTTTTGGAGCCTGTTGTTTGGAGGGAGGTGGATGCTTCATTGAGTAGTTTGAGCACCCCTGACTCATCAAAATCCTGGATCACAAGATCACTTGGCGCCAAGAAAGCCAAAGTTTCGGATTCTACGAGCAAGTCCGGCTCTCAGCCAAGCCTTGCGGAGTACTTAGCGGCCTCTTTCGATGAAGCCAATAAGGACGAATCCAGTGCATGAGAGTTGCTCTCGTACATTGCAGGATGTCGTTTTAATAATGGATCTGTACTAGCCAAAAGATGGAAAGCCTTGGACGGGCTTATTGTTTGGTACTAGTGCAGCGCTTGATGCCAAGAGGCAATTAAAGGGTTATCCTCGAAAATCAAGATTCTGTGACGTGATCATGTAGTATTGTTATTTTTATTCCTTTTTTTTTTCCCGAAAATGTAAAATCTTTAGGTGGCTGCCAGTTACTAAGCCCGCTTTTAACATAGAACACGCTCAAGTGACTGCATTGCAACTATAGAGTTCTATTTTTTCCCCCCGTCTGTGTCTTGTCTCTTCAAAATCTTTCTTGAAAGGACTGTAAAGTTACCCCAAAAATGTATCCAATTAATAGGGTGTTCTAGCATTTAGTCTTTTACACCATTTTTTCTCATAATTGGCTAAAAGTAAAAAATTCAATGTCAAATTTTTTTTTTGGGCTGTTCATGTTTTCTTTTTAGGAGTGGATCTTTATTTCTCATTCTCGATTCTTGATTAATACCTTTCTGTTAATATAATTATTTGACTAAAAAATTATTAATCAAGAGTAAGAGTAAGTGATAGAAATCTTGTCCATATGCACTTGAAAAAAAAAGTGTTTGTATCATTTTTTTTTTTGGGGGATAAATAGTGTCCCAAGTCTGTTGGCAATAGTCAATTCTCTGAGCAAAATGACCAAAATCTAAATCCATACGTATGCACAAAATTCAAAATGCAGTAAAAGTCACCAACAAAGTAAAACATAGAACCAATGGCCTAAAACGTTCCTTTTTTTTTTTTTTTTTTGTGTCTAGATGTGAGTGACTTGGAGAACCATATTTTCCTCTCCCTTAAACAAAGCACCTCGAGTCCTTTTCCTTTTTTTTTTTTTTTTTTTCCTTCATAAAATGAAAGATTTTTTATGTCCTCACTTTCAATCGATCTCAATGGATCCCTCGTTACTGCCCAGAGGAGAAGTAATAGGTAGGAATGACAAGATTGGAACCGAAAGTAAAAACAAAATATCCCGTTGAAATTCAGTGCCGCAAACTTGTGCAAAACCCATACCTAGAAATTGGTTTTTGCTCACAGCCAATCTTATCCAGGAAGGTGTGCGTAAGCTGCCCAGCCAAGCTTGGCGGATCATCAACAAAAGTGTCCACAAAAACGCTGACCACTCTTCTCTCTTGCTTAGTTGCTTTGAGGCTGAACCAAGTAAGAAACTTGACTCTAAAATCTGCATTTATATGCCCTTCATTCTCTAGCCATTTGATTACTCTCACAGAATATTCATAATCACTCTCTTCAGATCTCTTTCCACTAACCGGACAAGGAACTTTCCGCATTCTGTCCGATTTACAAGGTGTCAAAGGTGAGACTGATGGGGTGATCGTCAAAGAAGGCGGCATGTGGAACCCTTTAATCTTCTTCTTGGTGATGCCGTCCAATAACTGGAGCTTTGCAGGATGGTCTTTGGAAGCAAGTTTATTGTCACTAGAGTTGGTTGATTCTGCTTGAGAATGATTCTGACCAAATGCCATGTTTTCTTCCTTTTCATGCTGATTACGTAACGCAGCATCAGGACTTTCAGACAGTGCAGGCGTGACCCATTTAGCTTCCCAAACGCCCAAGACTCCTCGGCTGCCGATCAAAGAAACCTTGCAGGAATACTCTGTTGAAGGATGGAGATTGGTGAGTTTAAATCTCTTCTCCGGCTTAAATACAATGAAAGAGGGTTGTTCGGGGTAATCCCTCATGTCACATTTGCGGTGCCATAGCCTGCAGCCTAGTACATCATTCAGCAGATGATCTTCATATTGCAACACAATCATCACCGAAGTAGGGGACAATTCCTCTAACTGTATCTCACAAACTGAGACAACAAATTGTAATCAATAAGCAACACAAAAAGAGAGAGAGAGAGAGAGCGAAATGTAAGATCCCCTCAATTTTTCTCACAGAACCTAGGAATCTCATGTTCCATGCAAGTTAAAAGGAGAAGTTAATTTCCTTGGCATTAATTTAGATACAATGTAATTTCTGGATTTTCAATTCTAATCTTTGTCAATATGGTAAATTATTGTAATATTGGAATTGGTGTGCTCTAATTCACCGTGGATCACTGAGCCGGTGACTCGAACCCCTTTGTGTCAAAGGCTACAAATCTTACCAACTAGATATCTATTTGCATGGAATTGTATGCCCTATATGTATATACTTTGTGAGTAGTCTTCAACTGGTGAAATTAAAGAAAGAAGCTTACTTGTTGCGAGCTCTTTCTTCCCCATGTAGCTAGGGTCAGCAGATGAAAACATGGAGTCGAAATATTCTACTGCAGAAGAGCACATCTTCTGAACCTCAAAACCGCAAGAGAGCCTGTTAACAATGCCGCGCGACATCTTTGCACAAACCTGATCTAAAGGTCCCACTTCCTTGTTCAGCATTTTGACAGCGCTTTCGACTATTCTCTGCACTTGTTTGTATTTCTCTGTCCCAAAAAGAATCTTGTGACATAGAGAAAGCCGTAGACATAGAACATCTACCCTTCTTGCCTCTTTGGCAACCAACAGTTGTTTCTTCCACGTTCTGCAAAGTACAAGATCGCCCTCTCAATGATAAAAGCTGAGGATAATATTTTCATCCAACTTTTTAATGCTAAGTGAAGATTTAGATTTTGCAAATCATTTTGGTATTCAAGTTGTGCTGTATGAAGAGTAATTATTAAAGCACTAATCATTTAGATGTCATTTTAGATTTTTTAAGTTTGCCAAAAACCACCAAGGACATTGACATCCACCTCATCTGCTAGAACCCCTATAGGTTACCTGTGCATATTAAGTTGAAGCTTAATTACCTCATAATATCATTGATCTTTCCACAGGAAACACAATAGAAGCTCCCATCCAACTTAGTAGAGCAATCCTTCTTCGAAATGCCCGATCTTTCGTGCTTCAAAGCACACTCCAGATGGCACGACATTCCACACGAGTTGTTCTCTCCAACAACGTCGGCCCCACAGGTCAACCACAAACTAGGATCCTTGTTGTCATCATAATGATGACATATGCAACAAGAACATCTTTTGCAAAAAGCATCTTCTAAGCTTAAGTTAGCCCTACAAGCAACATTCTCACAGAGCCGAAGATTAGCATGTTCCACTTTATTAGTGGCAAGATCTTGCTCATTGACTAGTTGAAGTGGAGCTTCTATGTTCCTTTGCCTTTTAGTTTGAACTTGAATTTTTCCCGGCGAAATAGCAGTCAAGCTATCAGTATTGCTCCTCTTGGATCTCTGTGAGACTAACTTTAGTAGGTGTTCTATCATCTGGAATTTTGAATATCCCGTGTACTTCCTCTCCTTACCCATTTCAACACAAATGATTTTGAGAAGCTCCCTGCGGGTAAAGGCACGGAGCAACTCCGGGGCATCTTTTGAGCAATGAGCGATCTCATGAACAAGCTTTATCTGCTCTCCCAAGCTTAGCCTGCTACACTTATCTGGATCAAGCGCAGAACCTGAGAAGGGTAAGAAAAAGAACATCGTTGTCATAGGTCCACAAGAAGCTCATTCACAAGTTAAAAAGCAAAAATCTAAAGTTCCTGGACATCAAAAGTCATATTTGGTGGTTTAGAAAATGAATTTCATGAGAAAAATCCGCAAGTCTGAATCACATATGCTCCAAGAAAGAAACATATGGTTGCTATGAGCAAACAAAACCCCCTCGTTTTTCCGCTACAAATTCTACGTTAGGGACTCATTTAGGAAGAGTTATTGGCGAATGTTTTGTCCATTGGAAGACAAACTTATTTACCTCAACATCATAAGCCAACACAGTTTTCTATTTCATCTCAATTCCCAAAACACACATTGATAGAATCCCATCTCATCCCTCTCTCGTGAATTAGATATTAACTTTATGCTACATTATACTTTTTCCACAGGGACGCAAAAGAATAAATATTTACAAAAGCCAAAGTTCTATTTGACTATTTGAATATGAGTGACTGGTCAAATAATATACTATTTTACCAAAATACTCCATCAAGATAACAGTGATGAAGAAGCACACCGAAATCCCCCCAAACTATCACAATTATCAAAAAGGGCCCCCCGGATTTAGAAAGGGAAAAAAAAAAAAAACATGGCATGTCATGTCCATGTGAGCGCTCGTACACACACACACACACACATTGTCATCAAGCAAATGAGATTAACTTCTGACACTGAAAAAAAAAAAAATCCCCACTCACCTCCCTAGAATTTTATCCGGAATTTCTTGCTATGGTAGTAATTCTACTAATCAAAATGTGATTAAATCATTACTTTCAAGTTTCAGACTGACGCTAAAACAATGCAAATAAATTTTTAGATTTCTCGCTGGCTAAGGCCTAAAACAGTGAAGTACGGCACTGAAAAGAAAACCCCAGAAAATTTTTGGAGGCCTGAAGAGCATACATTATTGCCAACTGTAAAGGCAATGCAGGACCAGAGAAAATGAGAAAAACAAAAAAGAGAGAAAAATAGGCAAGCCCAGATGGGAAAGAGGTTGTTAACATGCAAGCATTGTCTAATGGAAGAAGAAACGCAGAGAAAATCGCACCATGATTAGCAGCAAAATGGAAAACAAAAGAAAATAAATAAATAAATAAATAAGCCAAATAAAGCGAGAAAAATAAAAACAACAATGGGAAGTGTTCACGGACCTGAGAAGACAGATTCCATTCCAGAAAATCTCTCCTCTTGTTTGCTCATGCTCATCGCAGTGCAGTGAAGAAGAGGGACACAATAAAAGTTGAGAGAAAAAGAAGAAAAATAAAAGGAAAACTATTTATCTTGTGCTGGGTGTTTCAGTCTGAAAATATTTTATTATTTATTATAGAGAAGGGAAAATAATAGGAAGAGAGATAGAAGGGTGGAAGCAGGGAGGGACATACCAGAAAAGGAAATTTTCATTGACAGACTGTATAATAAAAAATGGGATTAATTTCAAAAATTCACTAATTCATGATCCTTATAACATTTTACCAAATGAATTTTAAAACGTAACATCTCATTCCTCCGAACTTTATTTTATTAACAACTTTGCCTCTTCCGTTACACTGAGTAACCGAATTTGCCACGTGACCATTATTTAGTGAGATTTGAAAATAAAATTACGTTTATATTCATCTTCATTCAGAATCACTGGTAACAGAATGGGCATTATTGCATCAGTTTATCCAAAACTAGATCTCATGATTCCTCTCAAAAATTATATTTTAAGGGAGAGATCCGAAAAATTTCCAAAACGTTTCAAACCATTTCCACCTCTTCCGGTACCGCTATCGCCGACTCTGAGTTTGCTCTCAGATCGTGTGGAGCTAGCGTTAGCAAGGCGAATGTGAACGGTTTGGGCACCAATGCCGAAGCCATAGCAGTCATCTTCTTCTGCGGCACCACTCACAGAGGTCGACATGCGTTCGACGAGACCCCAATATCTAGATTTTTATCTTCGTCATCATCAACATTATTAAGTTGAACTATATTACTTATGAGCTCCGTGTATTATCTGTAAAGGTGAACTATGTGCAATGTAAAATGTGAATCCATTAATAGATCTAAAACTCAGTCATTCGAAAAGAAAGTACCCAACCAATCTCTTCAAAGAAAGAGATGAGTTTTTTTTCTCTCTCTCTTTTTTCTTTTTTTCTTTAATTTTTCCCTTAAATTATGGCTTTGTTCAAGCAAACCCAAAAGAAATGCCCAAAGCCAATACAAAACCCGAGAAGGGATGAAAAGTGAGGAAAAGAAAAATGAAATCCAGACGCAAGACAACTTCTATTTATCGATCTTATTCATCTTTCTGCTAATTAGGAGAAAGGTATATTTGTCGATTCTTTAATATCTAGATAGCAATGAATTTCAAAATGTTTTTGGAGCAAATCTTAATTTTTTTTAATAACATGATAAACTGATGCATTTTAATCCATTTTTTAATAACCTGGGGTTTTTACATGATATTTTACGATATTACCATCCTCAGATGGGTTAAATAATGGACATGTGGCGAATTTCGTCACTCAGTGTAATGGAATGGGCAAAATTGTTAACGGAACAAAGTTCGGGGGGAGCGGATGTTACATTTTGAAATTCGGGAGGCAAAGTGTTACAGGGGTCATAATTCAGGGAGAATTTTTGAAATTAATCCTAAAAAATGCTTAGGGCACCATTAGTGTTAAATACCACCGTTAATAAGAGCTTGGTCTTATAATATGGAATTTATTTTTTATGTGGGAAAAGAAGACAAATACTATTGTTTGGTGCATAGAATTAAGGAAGATTGAATATGATTAAATTTTAATACTTTGTTTGGTGCACATTTTCAAAAGACTGGATTGGATAAACTTTTATCCAATCCATTATCAAACACCCTTGAAGGGAATGTTGCTATCCCCTGCTAAAGCATGGGATAATTTTTGACTAAAGCACATTGTGAAAAACACTAGGAACCTATTTGTTATTTTTTATAAAATTTAGGGCCTAATTGTAATAGTTCAGGATCAAATTGTAATTTTTATATAAGTAAAATATTTAAACAAAATTATATTTTTACCCCTCAATTTTTGAAAATAATACAATTTGACCTAAATTTTTAAAATTTTTACAAAAATACTGTTATCCGATAGTTCAGGGATCAAATTGTAATTTTTATATAAGTAAAATATTTAAACAAAATTATATTTTTACCCCTCAATTTTTGAAAAAAATACAATTTGACCTAAATTTTTAAAATTTTTACAAAAATACTGTTATCCTAATAACACAACGCCAAACATGAGATTGGATTAAACTAAAATCTAATCCTATACTTTCCGATACATTCATCCATTACCCTAAAACTATACTATCCTATCATGCGCACCAAACGAGACTTAGAAAATATATTATCCTAAAAAAATATTTTGTGATAGTATATTATCGTATCCTATACTATCCTATACATTAGTCTAAAAATATTTTAAATATTTTGAAAATAATATTTTTACCCTTCAAGTTTTAAAAAATTACAATTTAACCCAAAAATTTAGATGCCCTTATCCTAATAACACAACACCAAACATGAATTATATTAAACTAAAGGATCAGGCTTGGTTTTTGGGCTTTTCAATGGCGGAAATAAAAAGATTGCGGGCTTTTAAAGACAAGGGGGAGGCTTTCTTGGGTTGAATCCCTTATCACTCATTCATGCTTAATTTGACTAATTTTAAAAAAATTCTCCTAAGCGGGTTTCAAATTTGGTCAAATTAAGGACAAATGGGCCTATGTGATCACTCATAGCCCACCAAATCACAACCCACGGGAGTTCTTTGAGCGTGGCTTAAGTCCACAAAACGAGTCCAATTATATCACGGGACGTAAGAGATTGAACCTGGACCCATAATGTGCCTGGTACGAATTCAGGTATCAACAAAGTTCAACAATTTTCTCTTTCTCTATGGATACCGGAGCAATAGAGATAATTGTTGTACTTATCATTAGAATGTATGAATATATATTTTTATCTCTTACTCTTAATTAATATCATTTTGACTAATATAGTTATTCAACTAAAAGTATATTAGAGCCCGTTTGTTTAATATACTTAATTCTAAATCATTAATTTTGTTATAGTGTTTTTCTCTCATAAAAATTTAAAATTTAAAATGTCAAAATCAAGAATCATAGTTTAAATTTACCTTTTAAAAAAATCTTTAATTAAAAATAAGGGATAAAAATTTAAATACATACGTTATCTTCTCTTCCTGAGTGGACAGTGGTCAGTAGACTCAGTACCCCCTATTTTATAGTATTGTTCTTCTATAATAATAGTATGAGTCAGTTTTATTCAAAAAAAAAAAAAGTATATATATATACACATATATATTTGTATAAAAAAAGGCGGTAATCATAGAAGTCTGGAGCTCTTTGAGTAACGTCTGAAAGAAGTATGCTAACTTAGGCCGCTTTCTTTTCTGTTTTTTTTAGCCAATAAAGTAAACAAAAAACATATAATATGTACGTATTTATTCCATATATATTATATATCTGTATCTATAATTATATATACACTGAGTTCCCGTTTACTTTACCGATTTGAGTTTAAAATTTAAGTTTTGTTACACTAAAAAACTCTCATATAAAATTACATCTCAACTCGAATTACAAACTCGAATCAGCGAAGTGAACAAACCCTAAGTCTAACCAGCAAAAAATCTCAAAGCAAATAGGTTATCGTAAATTTTTTTTTCTTTTATACCTTTATTTTATTTTATTTTTTACTCAGTTGCATTTGTCATTTTTTTATTGTCTTTTTATCCACACGTGGCCAACGTTTATAGTTTAAGTATGACAATTTTACTCGTTAACTTATTTATCCAGAGGGCTCACCTTAAACGGAATCAAAATAGATGTGAGTTATAAAAGAGTTAAAATTTTAACCTAGCGGATCACGAAACAAGAACATATATAGAGGTCTTTGACCTTATTCTCTGTTTACATATATGATTTAATTATATCATATTGTTAAACTATATATATTACGTATAATATATTATAATATATAGTTTTAAGTATGATATATTTATATAAGAAAATTCTAAACTTTTTTATTCTTTTTAACTTTTGTATAGTTGTGTTAATTAATTATTTATTTATTTATTTCACATTAAAATTAACTAATAAGGTAAATGGAATATCGTGAGTATCCTAAATTCGTGACAGGAAAACTCACTCCGTACCCCACCAAATTATGAAAATTTATTTTAAAAACTCTACAAGTCATGTAGATGTAAGAAACAAAGTCATGTATGATTTATTTTTAACTATTTCATCTCTTATTATTTAATTCATACTTTAATTAAAATAAATTAAAATAAAAATTAAATGGACATAAATGCACATGGTTTGTACGTGCAGTTTTTGCTAGCATATTATTAAATCTTAAGGCAGGCAAGTCATGGTGGAACTTTTTCCTTTTTTACACTCAAATTCTTTTTTATTTTACTCAAATTTGTCGCCTTTTATCGTCTTTGTATAGATATACGTGGCCAACGTATATGACTTAGGGATAGTAATTTTACCGTTAATACATTTACCTACAGAGACCCGCCTTAAAGGGACGAAAAAAATCTGATTTAAATGGATTCGGGTTATTCACGGATTAAAATTTTAACCTAGTGTGAGTTGCAGGACAGTAATATATTTATAGGTCCTTGGTTTATTTCTTGTTTAGTCGCCCCATTTAATTATACCATATTATTAAACTATATATTATGTCTAATATGTTGTAAGCCATAATTTGAAGTATAATATATCATAGTGAAAATTTAAAACAAATTTTCTTTTATTATTTTTAACTTCATGTTTTATATAGTTGTGTTGATTAATTGATTAATTATTTATCTTATAATGAAATTAACTATCAGATAAATGGGACACCATGAGTAACTTGAATTTGTAACGGGAAAACCCGCTCCGATCCTGCCAATATGAAAATTTATTTTAAAAACTCTATAAGCCATGTATATATATAAGAAACAAAGTCATGCACATAGCCGTTGTCGCTCCTCCGACAACTCTACTCGCCTCCTCCTAGCATCTCTTTGCCCATACTGTCCTCTTTGCCTAATCCCACCATCCAACAACAATCTCAAGATCTAGATCTAGACGATTGACCTGAAAAACCTTTTGTAGAAATGAAAAAAAAAGATTCATTAAGGACTTGGGTGAGGACTAGTCTTTTTCTAGCACACTATAAAGTCTCGTTCACTTTGCGGATTCGAGTTTTCAATTCGAGCTGAGATGTGACA